CGCCACCACCACAACCACCACAACCACGACCAACAACAACAACAACAACAACAACAACAACACCAGCAGCTGCAGCAGCAGCAGCAGCAAAAGCAACAGCAACAGCAACACCACCAACACCAGAACCAACACCACCACCACCAACACTACCACCACCACCACCACCACCGCCGCCACCTCCTCCTCCTCCTCCCTCCTCCGTCTCCGCCTCCGCCTCCGCCTCCACCTGCACCGCCTCCATTGCCTCCATTGCCTCCACCACCCCACCACCACCACCACCACCACCACCACCACCACCACGACTACTGCTGCTTCTGCTTCTACCACCACCCAGGCTAACGTCACTTTCCCTTGCACTTTCCAAATGGCGGAAGGAACAGAGGCTCGAGGGTGGCATGCAAGGAAAGAAGATGCCTGTAAAGCCGGGGCCACCAACACATTCGTGATTTGCATTCTCGCCGACACGCCATGGCTGGAAGCGTGTAACTTGAGGAACTCCTGTGCTCCCCTAATCTCTACCCCCAAACAAGCATGGCGAATGTGCCACTCGGTCTGAAAGAATGTGCGACTGATACTGTCAACAACTATCTGGAGTCTTCCACGTCTGTCCAAAGAAAACATAGTTCACGGGTACATGTGCCTCCTCCTCCTCCAGCTCCTCCCCCTCCTCCCTTTCCTCCCTGCCACGCCCACTGTTCCCACATGCTGCGACTCCTGTCACTACTGCTGCCACTGTGACAACTAAATGAATTCTGAAGACCGTCTTGAAGGACAATTCGCGCCTGTCCTGCTCGTTGAGGTGGCTGTGGCACTAGTGCTGGTTGATGTTGGGGTTGTCGAGCTTTGAGTCGTCGTAGTTGTCGTTGAGGTGGTCGTCGTCTTGGTAGTTGTGCTTGTTCTAGTTGTCGAGCTTATGGTGCTTGTAGTCTCACTGCGAGTGCTCGTCGTCGTGCTTGTCGTGCTTGAGGTGGTTTTGCTTGAGCTGGTTGTCTTGGTGCTGCTCGTGCTGCTTGTGCTGGAGCTGGTTGTGGGTGAGCTGGTTGTACTCGTGCCGCTTGTCGTTGTGCTGGCTGTACTCGAACTGGTAGTGCTCGACCCACTTGTAGTTGAGCTGGTCGTCGCCGTTTTGCTGGTGCTCGAACTGCTGGAACTCGTGCTCGTCGTGCTAGAGCTGGTCGTGCTCCAGCTGCTGGTTCTCGAGCGGGTTGTGCTTGAACTAGTCGTGCTTGAGCTGCTTGATCTTGAGATGGATGTGCTCGAGCTGGTTTTGCTTGAGCTGCTGGAGCTTGCAGTCGTCGTGCTAGAGCTAGTTGTGCTTGATCGAGTCGCGCTAGAACTGCTTGTGCTCGAACTGCTTGTGCTGGAACTGGTCGTGCTGAAGCTGGTAGTGCTGGAACTGGTCGTGCTGGAGCTGCTTGCACTAGAACTTGTTGTGCTGGAGCTGGTTGTGCTGGAACTGATTGTGCTGGAGCTTGTTGTGCTGAAGCTGCTGGTGCTGAAGGTGGTTGTGCTGGAGCTCGTCGTGCTTGAGCTGGTTGTGCTAGAACTGGTCGTGCTGGAGCTGGTTGTGCTGGAGCTGGTCGTGCTGGAACTACTTGTGCTGGAGGTGCTTGTGCTCGAGCTGGTTGTGCTTGCGCTGATGGTGCTGGAACTGATTGTTCTGGAGCTGGATGTGCTGAAGCTGGTGGTGCTGGTGCTACTTGTTGTGGAACTGGTGGTGCTGCTGCTGATTGTGCTCGAACTCGTCGTGCTCCCGCTGCTTGTGCTGGAACCAGTCCTGCTTGTGCTGCTTGTGCTCGTGCTGCTGGTGCTCCAGCTGGACGTGCTCGTGACGGTGGTACCATTGCTCGTTGTGCTGGAGCTGGTTGTGCTCGAAAAGGTTGTGGTCGAGAAAGTCGTGCTTGAGCTCGTAATGCTGCTGCTGCTTGTGCTCGAACTGGTCGTGCTCGTGCTGCTTGTGCTCCGGCTAGTCGTGCTGACGCTACTTGTTGTTGAGCTGGTCGTGCTCGAGCTGCTGGTGCTTGAGCTGCTTGTGCTAGAGGTGCTGGTGCTAGAGCTGCTTGTGCTCGTGCTGGTTGTGCTTGAGCTAGTTGTGCTAGAACTGGTTGTGGTGGAAATGGTCGTAGTCCAGCTGGCTGTGCTCGAGCTGGAGGCCGTGGTGGTGCTCGAGCTGGTTTTGCTGCTGCTGGTTGTCCTCGAGCTTGTCGAACTTGAGCTGGTCGTGCTTGAGCTTGTTGTGCTTGAGCTAGTTGTGCTAGAACTGGTTGTGCTGGAGCTGGATGTGCTGGAGCTGGATGTGCTGGAGCTGGTGGTGCTCGAGCTTGTCGTGCTGGAGGTAGTTGCGCTGGAACTGGTCGTGCTGGAGCTGGTCGTGCTGAAGCTGGTCGTGCTGGAACTCGTTGTGCTTGAGCTGGTGGTGCTTGAGCTTGTTGTGCTTGAGCTAGTTGTGCTGGAACTGGTCGTGCTGGAGCTGGTTGTGCTAGAGCTGGTTGTGCTGGAGCTGGTTGTGCTGGAGCTACTCGTGCTGGAGGTGCTTGTGCTAGAGGTGCTGGTGCTTGAGCTCGTTGTACTTGTCGTGCTGGTGCTGGAGCTGCTTGTGCTTGTGGTTGTTGTGCTCGTGCTGCGTGTGCTAGTGGTTTTGGTTTCCGTGGTGCTGCTGGAAGTATAGGTTGAGCTTGTTGACGATGACGTGCTGGTTGTGGTCGTGCTGCTAGATGTGCTGGTCGAACTTGTTGAAGATGAAGTTGTGCTGGTGGTGCTTGTACTCGTGCTCGTCGAGCTTGTGGATGTGGAAGTTGATGACGTCGTGCTTGTTTGAGTCGTGGAGCTAGTGCTGGTGGCGGTCGTCCTGGTGCTGGTTGTGCGAGTATAACTTGTGTATGTCCGGGTCGTTCTCGTAATGGTAGTTCTCGTAATGGTTGTATGCGTGGTGTCAGTGCTGGTGGTTCTGGTCGACGTTGTCCTTGTTGAAGTTGTCCATGTTACAGTAGTACGGGTGGTCGTACTGGTCTTAGTTGTCGTGGATGTGGTCGTTGTGGAAGTTGTTGATGAGGATGTGGATGATGTTGAAGTGGTTGACGTTGAGGTGGTTGATGTTGAGGTGGTTGATGTCGAGGAGGTTAACGTTGAGGAGGTTGAAGTTGAGGAGCTTGATGTCGCAGACGTGGAACTTGATGTTGTCGAGCTGACCGACGTGGTGCTAGAAGTTGTACTTGTGGAAGAAGTTGTGCTGCTTGTTGTGCTCGTGGTGGTCATAGTGCTGGTCGAAGTGCTGCTGGTGCTGCTTGTGCTAGAGGTAGTTGTGCTAGAGGTTATGGTGGCCGTGGTTGTAGTAGTCGAAGTGTGAGTCCTTGTGCTGGACGTGCTTGTGCTTGTAGATGTGCTGGTCGTGGATGTTGTACTTGTGCTGGCAGTAGTACTGCTAGTGCTGGTTGTGGTGGTGGTGGAGCTAGTTGTCGTGCTGCTCGTGGTGATCGATGTTGTGGAGGTGATAGTGGTTGAGGTCGTGCTTGATGAAGTGCTACTCGTGCTACTTGTGGAGGATGTGCTGGAGGTGCTTGTTGAAGTGGACGAAAAGGACGTGGATGTCGATGAAGTGCTGGCAAATGCAGAGCTGCCCAAAAGAAACACCAAAAGCAACATAGGGAGCACGCCTAACCTTTAAACTCCTCCACGACCCTAGAACCTGAAAAGAACCGGGAACTTCCCTCAGAGTTCAATCTGAGATGAGTTTGCCAAGGACTTTAGGAGTGATCCTGAGGCGTGGTCACCTGTTGAGTTCACAACCCTGCCTGCTGGATGATGCGCTCGAAGTGGATGATGAAGTCGAGGAAGTCGACGTGGTGCTGCTAAGCGTTGACGACTGGCTTGTGCTGCTTGTGGAGGTTGAGCTCCTGATCCCCAACCCCAATTGAAATGAAGCCACTCTGGCGACATAGGATGTGCAGACACAACGATGCCTGGAAGCAAGCCCGCTTGTGGACCGCACCTGCGTAACATGCCCTAGCAACCTCAGCCCCTCACACGAATCCACATACCGTTTCGTAGGCATGCTGTAGATGCATCTGTCGAGGCCAGAGGCCTGGGGCCTCTAGATCGGGCCCCAGCTGGGATGGGGCCTGTTACCATGTAATTCACCTCCAGGGACGTGCTCCGATTGGGTCTTTGTTTTTTGAATGTTCTCGGAGCCAGTCAGGTCCTTGTTTCCTGTGCTCTTCTGAACAGCAACGAGGATGAGCAAATGCAGCAGTAGTCCAGTTGCGATAACAATGAGGATACAGGGCGCATGAAGCCTAGATGCGATTTGTGCATGGGGCCTGCAAATTTGAAGGATCACAGACCAAGACGCCATAAGTAGACCTTGGTAACTCATACAGCTTCTGATTTGCGCGGCCGTTGGGCACTCGCGGTAGCGACTGAATTATGGGTTAGATTCCTGCGGCCTCGAACACTCAGAAGGGATCCTTGACAACGGGGATTATGAGGTAAGCCAGGGGTTGTCAGCGGCTCCGTCCTGTTTGGAGGCCCCTTGTACTCTGCCTGCTGCTATTATCCTAAGTAATGGACTCCGTGAGATAATTGATGTCGGCACGCTCCTGGTTGAAGTCCGCGATGTTGAGATGGTGGAAGTCTGTGTAGTGCTTTTGCTTGTGGTGGTAGTTGACCTTCACGCGCACGACAATCACACAGCTCACGGCAGTACTTTTCAGAATTTCACGCCTAGGCCAAGTCACCAGCTGCCGCGGCTAGAGGTTCTGAGCAAACCTAAAAGCTTTCAAGCCAAAGCCGGCAAAGGGACGTGCTGCTCGCGCTCGTGGTGAGGCTTTCAGTCGTAGACGAAGAAGTGGAGGATGCAGTCATGGATGTGCTCAGGGTCGTGGAAGATGATGTGATGCTTGTTACCGTCGTGGAGGTTTTTGTGCTCGTCGTGGTTAGGCTCATGGTAGTAGTGCTGCTGCTGGTCATCGTGAGGGTCGTTGTGCTCGTCATGGTTGTGACCGAGCTTGTTTTGCTGGTGTGTGTGCTGCTGTAGGTAGAAGTAGTGCTTGTTACACTGCTTGTCACGGTTGTGACTGTGTTGGTTCGGCTGGTGGTGGAAGTTTGGGTGGATGTTTTGGTTTGGCTCGTAGTAGCAGAAGTACTCGTCGTCGTGACCGTCAGGGTGTAGGTGGTGGTACTACTTTGGGTCATGGATGTGGTGGTGCTTGATGTGGTGCGGGTGCTGCTCACTGTGCTTGTCCTGGTTTGGCTGGTGGTTGTTGTGTAGGTTGATGTTGCAGTTCGGCTTGTGGTTGTGCTAGTGGTCACAGTGGATGTGCTACTTACAGTGCTGGTGGCTGTGGTGACGGTTGAGGTCTGGCTACTGCTGGATGTTGTGCTGGTGCTGGCAGTGGTGGTGGTTGGCACTGAGCTGGTAGTCGTAGTTGTTGTGCTGGTTTGGCTGCTGGTACTGGTTCGAGTGATTGAAGTTGTTGTGCTCCTGGTGGTGCTTGTTACACTGCTTGTCACGGTTGTGACTGTGTTGGTTCGGCTGGTGGTGGAAGTTTGGGTGGATGTTTTGGTTTGGCTCGTAGTAGCAGAAGTACTCGTCGTCGTGACCGTCAGGGTGTAGGTGGTGGTACTGCTTTGGGTCACGGATGCAGTGGTGCTTGACGTGGTGCGGGTGCTGCTCAACGTGCTTGTCCCGGTTTGGCTTGTGGTTGTTGTGTAGGTTGATGTTGCAGTTCGGCTTGTGGTTGTGAGAGTGCTCACAGTGGACGTGCTACTTACAGTGCTGGTGGCTGTGGTGACGGTTGAGGTCTGGCTACTGCTGGATGTTGTACTGGTGATGACTGTATTTGTGCCTGTCACTGTGCTTGACCTGGTGCTGCTGGTGCTAACAGTCGCTGTGACGGTGCTAGTGGAAGTTTTGCTGACACTTGTGCTGGTGGAGGTAAGTGTGCCAGTGGTACTTGTTCTGGTGTTGGTCTTGCTGATTGTGCTTGTTATTGTGCTTGTCTCTGTCGTACTTGCTGTTGAAGTTGAAGTGTGCGTTGCAGATGTTAAGGTATTGCTGCTGCTCGTGCTCACAGTTGACGTGTGGGAAGAAGTGGTGGTTGATGTGCTCGTCTCCTTGGCCAGGACAGCACAGCCGGCACAGCCCCAGCCAGAACTCTAGTGGTCAACCATCCTCCCAGTCACATCTCAATCCGAGCTGCGAGGGCTGACTTCACAAGTACTCCTCTGACAGTTCATTATCTTTTTCTGTGTTGAATCATCGGAGCCATAACGGCAAACGCGAAAACCCCACTTACAAGGAGAAGAAGCATGGGCTTCGGGGTTAACGAGAATGCAACTACGGGCCTGAAGCAATCTGTAGCCCAGTTGCTGAGACTGTTGTCGAAGAAGTTATCGACGAGGTTTCAGTTGTGGATGTCTGCGAGCTAGTCCTTCCAGGGCTGTCAAAGACCGGCCAAAAGCACAGCTTCCTGTACTTATGCCCGGTTGAAGTGAGACGGCTTCTAAGTCTGGGGCGAATCAACGCACGAGATCCTCCCCCGGGTCTTTGTGTGAGCCTTCTAGGTCCATAGAGTTTCGCAGCTGGCGCGCTTGCTAGAAGAATCATGCGTTTCAATTGGTCTCCAGGCTATGCGACAGTTTTCGCTGCAGACCTTTGGCAGGCTAGACCCACAGAAAACACCCTCACAGCTGCAGAGGAGTCTTCTTGGCCTGTGTAGCATTCTTGAGCAAAGACCACGGTTCACCAGGATGCCATGATCATGATGGCAGACGAAAACTCCACTGGGCAGACCATTAAAACACCCGAAAAGCAAGGGCAGGAGCAGTTGAACGTCAAAGGGGAAATTAAAGCTAGCACCCCAGGTCTTCGATTACAGCGTGCGCTTCTTTTGTCAGAAAGACGTTCTTGCATGTTCTTACCATCCTAGTCTGGCTCGAAGTATATGAAGTAGATGTCGTTGTCCGACTTGTGCTGGTAGAGGACGTTAGCGTACCTGGCCCGAGAAAGTCCACCTTTCACAGCTCTTTTTGTGCAACGACACTGCTGGCAGCTCGTGCTCATACCCCAGAAATCCCGAGAAGAGCGGCTTGTCTTCGGAGTTATAAACGCACAGGCAACCCTGCATGCACTCAATCTACCCAAGGCCCTCACCTGGCGGGGCTAGACCTAGACGGATTAACCAGCTCTGGACCAAGACGGATTAACCAGCTCTGGCATCAAAACCTCTACAAGGGTAACGAAAAAATTGAATGATGTATCGTCTTCCATGTCTTCCCACACGATTTGCTTCAAATAGTTCCCTCGACCCTGAGTCACTCAACGTGCTTGTTGTGGTGGTGCCTTAGCTGTCAGCTCTGGGCAATGCACTAGAAAACCCGAGTGGCAAAAGCAAGATTTGTGAAGTGGTCTTACGAACAATAGGATGCAAATGGAGCATGCAGAACAAAACAAACACGACCACGGGCGGTTGTTTTCGCTCCGCTCATGATGCTCCTCGCAAGAGGGTGCCCGCTTGCAAATCATGAACGAAGATGGGAACGAGTAGGCTCTTGGCGGGATTGTTGCATGTGTGTGTCGACTCTTCTCCGTGCCATTTATAAAAGCGGGGGTCTGGGGCCGATTTGCAAACATTCAAAGAGATGCATGTACCGAAACGCGTTCATGGCAAATCCGATGGCATTAGCTAGGCTGCAACCAATCTGCTTTGAGTTTACTAAAGGGGCCCAGCCACCCCCATGTTGACTGGCCTTACAAGCGCTTTTGCGGTTTTCACCTTTTTCAGGCCAGCTAGGGGATTATCAGCAGGGCTATAACGCTTCAACGCCCGTTATAAATATTTACTTTTTTGCTGCTGGACTTGTGCAATCGCCAGCATCTTGGCCGAAGCATCCCGATCATGAGCACTACTGGCTCATTCTCCATATTTGCTGAAGCCAACTTTCAGGAATTATCTCATAAAACGCAACTACCATGTGACCTGTGGTAACATCAAGTGCAGAGCTCAACTGCGCAGCCCTCCAAGAATCTAGCACTGGCAAGTACCCCTCACAGCTCGACTCCCCAACCATGACTACGAGGCATAAGAACGACCTCAGCATGAGAAGGCGCTGCACAAGCTCATGGAGAGACTCTCCATCAATGCTGTATCCCAGAGGCCATTGCATGAATCCATGTTCAACATTGACCCACATCGCATAATACTGCCCGACCATGCCCGGAGAACATCTTCTACTGATGCACACATGCTGAATCCAAGGAATGTTCAGCTGAAACGGCTGTCTCCAATTAGACCAAGGTGTAGTATACGCATATTTACGTAAAACCCATGAACCCTCTCAGCCCTAAAGCCTAAACCCTATACAGCCCAAGAGGACCCCTTTACAGGGGCCCATAAGTAGTTGCTAAATCCCATGGTCCTTCAAGCAGAGGGTCCACATTTACTACTTGTCTGACAATATGTGTTATCAACCCTCCGTTTCGATGTCACTTTACATGTTCATGTCTATTTGATTCTCCATTCCCCTAAAGGTCGCCGCGATCAGAACCCAGATACCTGGGAACCTGGTACAGGAATTGTAGTACAGGGTTTGGGGAAATATATGATGATTGAGTACTTGGTTCCAAGCGAGAGCGCAAAGTTTTGGCAAAATCGGAAGATGCTCCACACCAGAACGTGATATTGAACCAAAACCTTGCAATTGCCTACAAATTGTCTAGACGCTCCGCGCGAAAGTGCAATTTGGAAGCCTCGCCCGCGCGCAAGCGGGGGCCAGCACGATTCCAACCAAAATTTGAGGCGCTCCAGGCAAGAGCGTGATTCTAGACAGAATATGCGAATGCTCCACGCCGGAGCACAATTTCCATGGGTTGTAAAGAAGAAACAAAACACTCCCATGGTTTTTGTTGCCTTGCACATTTTCAGGCAAAATTTGAGGATGCTCCGCGCAGCAGCGTGATTCTAGACCAAAAATGCGGACGCTTACGCCAAGTCACCATTTGCACGAGTTTTCCGCGCGTTCCCTATAAATTTCCTGCCGCTCCCAGAAGGCACAACACACCGAGCAAAAACAAAACACGCCCAAGGCGCGTTCTGTTTTTGGCTCCGACTACAAGCGACAAAACAAAGAGAGGCTGAGGCTGGACAGGGCCTTTTCGCAATATTACCCTGCAGTTGCATAAATCCTTGCTCCTACTTGAATCCGGCAACTTTTGTGCTCACAGCGAATGGTTCCAGTCTAATGTCTGTACCTGTACCAATGAGCGTACAATTTGTTGGCTGCGGATTTTCGTCTTCAAGCTGCAAATGAATGAGCCTGAACGGATTCAAGCAGATTCAATTCTTTCAGAAATGCACTTCCAGCACTGCTTAGCTGTCAAGAAATAGAAGACTCATGAGCGGCCGCGCTGTGTACATCCAGGTTTCCTGAAACTCGGAAGGAACAATTTCCAACAGCACCAAGCGACCGATGCTTTGCCTTTCAAGTTCAAACTTGCTTACAAGTGTTCACGTTTGATTTCCTGATTTATTCTAAATGCATCTGAGCCACACTCGTCCAATGGAACATCACGAATGAGTACACCACCATCCAGTAGACAATCGCGAGGTAAGCTAACCTGCACGCACAAAAGAAGCGTCTTCAGATGAGATAGCTCCTTGCTGACCTTCCTTCTTCTGCTACTGCTAACGCTGCTGCTACTGCTCCTGCTGACACTGCTGCTGACTTGGGCCAATGCTGGCAAACCTGCTACAGCTTCTGCGACTGCTACTACTGCTACTACTCCCTCCGGAACTGAAGCAAGCAGGGAGGGCATAGGTGCATTGATCGTCGAAGGCTGCAACGACCAGCGCCAGCATGACAAGTTTTCCTGCGTTGCGCGACTTACCAAGGACTGGATTCACCTCCTTTGGCTTGAAGGCAAACAATTCAATAGGGATTGCTGGTCGCATGGCGATACCTCGGACAGCAGCGGACGACCACTTCTAAAATCATCGGGTTATCCATTCTGTGCTTCTTTTTGGCTTGATGCTGCGGAGAGAAACTCTTGACAGCGGAACCTCGAAGCGAACTAGGGCTGAAGACTGGGGGATACGCAAAATTCTCAGTCGGCTAGTGGTAGACACAGCAGATAACAGCTATCAAATGCATCCTAGTAGACCTCGCAAGCTTTTTCAGGCAGAGCTGAGGTCATTGACAGAGATCTTTCCTGTGGATGCAAGCCTTGAGCTGATTCCAGCCTGTGCTTCACTGGAACATGGCTCACTAAAGCACATGTTCCTGTAGTTGTTACAGGGCGAAGCAGTTTTCTGAAATCGGAATGAAAACCTGCACTGGGAACTACCGATAAACAGGAACTGCCACCACGCATACGTACGGCAGAATAACTGGCTCAAGTTATGCCCCCTGAGATCGAAGAATCGCGTCCTTGGGAAATCATCAGGCAAGCGCACGATTGAGCAGCCTCTTCCGTGCAGCTCAAAACACTAAACACGTGGTTGGAAAGCTGTGGGTGAATGATTTGCGTTGCTGCACGTCATCTGATCAGAATACCCACATGGCTACTGCCTTAGCTGGAAGTTAGCCATCCTGAATCGAAACTGAGGTCTACTTAAGGTGCCTTACATAGGGGAAGCACATCTCAGGCCTGAGCCGTAGCGAAAGCTAGAGAGCTTCCTGATGCACTTTATTCTCTCTAAGCCAAGTCTTGGAGAGATTTCATAACAATTATTTCATGCTTGTCCTGAGGGCTTTAGGGTAAGGACTCCTAAGGCCGGCTTTGGGCCTCTATGCTCCCTGGGCCACTTGTCGGCCGAGCATTCCTGTAAGCCGGACGGGGCACACACGTGTTGACTTCACAAAGAGTACATACGTCTCGAGCCCACATTGCGTTGGAGGCCTTCGGAGTCAGCTTTCTATGCCTGCCGCGTGGCTGGTTGACTGCTTGTAAGGTTTGCACGGGCTGCGAGCAGCCAGGTTGTTACAATTCCCCAACGCAGGCTTTGTTTGATGTCAGTTGACACACAATTACGTGAAGCGCCCAGTTCGTGCCAATGGCGAGGCACATGCCGTACATCGTAGCCAGAAAGGCCCAGCCCTTCAAACAGCAGCGCACTAAATGATGGACAACAGGTCACCTGGGCGGAAGTTCTAGGGCAAACA